AAACCTCAAGGTCTTTAAAAGTATATCCTTCCCAAACCCATGAAAGAAAACAGTGAATAAGAAAATTTGTTGAAAAAGATAATTAACTAATATAACTCTTAAGGTACATAATAATTTTATTATCATTAATAATCTGGAACTTATAGTAAAAAATTTTAGACTTTAAACGAGAGATAAAGAGACATGATTGTCACTTCTTTTAAAACTATTCATATACGAAAATTATTTTTCAAGTTGATAAAACTCATATGGTACATAAATTTATTTTTATAAGAAAAATATTGGTGAAAAGAGAAATTAGAGATAGAGCAAACTTGAATCGACAAGAATAAAACATTAGAAGACAAAACATATTCTAAATGAGTTGTAATTTTTCATGATTCACTATAAAGAATGGTAACTCCCTATATTTTTTATACATTACTTCTTGTAAAATATTAACTCAACATTGGCGGAGGCAAACGAGAAAAAAATAATAATAAGACATTTGAGGACTTATGTGATGATAGATTACTTTTTCTAATTTGTATTTTACAACTCAAATATATTATGTGGTATATATAAGAAAGATAGAGAGAGATTTTCTCAAAATCGTATATTCACGAATATAGGATACACGCGCAAAGCGCGTACCCTAAGACTAGTTTAATTATATAAGTAGGCCTACATAAGTATTCACTATCTTTTAATGATTACTCCATCGTCCATTGGTTTATATGTGTTGTAATTTGCATAAAAGTTGAGATATTTAGGTTAGTGTTCAATTATATATGTTTATTCTACGTTTGTGTTTAATTGAAATGGTGAAATCTGAGTAGACTTTTAAGTTTTAAATATTAGGATTTTGTACATAGTGTAAATAAGGAAGGATTTGGTAAATAAAACTTAGTAGATTTTAAATAAAATTAAAAAAATAATTAAATGATCATTTTATCTAATGTGAACTCTATTTTTAAAGAGTAAAAAAAGCGAACGATATTTCACTAAGGGATAAATATAAATATTCTATAATCACAAGTCAAGACGAACACTAATAAAAATTTATTTTCTCCTAAATTATTTTGTGAAATTGACTAATCTTTTGTAGGTCTGCATTCGAAAATCTTCTTTTACCTACAGAAAAGATGAACACGTATTATTTTTTCTTTCCTTGTGAGTTCTGAAAAAGAAAGCTAAAATAATTGAATTTTAAAGAGCTAACTATTAAAACTCCTTTCATAGTTCAAAATTCAAATAAGGCAAAATATAGTTCAAATAAAAAACGGTTTGATATATAAACTTTAGTTGATTTCAAACTACTAAATATTAGGAAAATAATTATTTCTAAATATTAGGAAATCAATTAAATGATTATTTTTAAAATAGAAAAATAACTAAAGGACTATTTTGTCCGGTATGAACTCTCATTTTAAAGGGTAAAAAAGGCGAACAACATTTCGTTAAGGGTTTTTGTACTTTTAATATAGTATAGATATAGATAGATTACATTAATTTACCCGAGGTTGGTTCGTAGCCAAATCCTATAAATATATAGACACCGCTGAACTAAATTTGTAAAAGAGAAAAAATTTTGCAATTTGCAAGGACGAGGAAAGGGGCTGGCCGAAGAAATATTGGGGAGAGGTACTTAGGCAGGATATACCATTGCTTTAGCTTACCGAGGATATGACCCACGATATGAAGGTGTGGAGGTTGATGATTATGGTCATAGGTTGACTGATAGTAGTGTGTTCCTCCTCGGCTTACCAGTAGTACTAGGATTATTTTTGTATTATCGTATCATGGTTCTTTATTATTACATGATGTGTCATTCGCACTCTTTTACCATATTGCATTGCTGTTATCATTGTTTACTATTTGACTGTTTTATCTTATCTCTACTGTTCCCTGAGCCAAAGGTCTATCGGAAACAACCGCTCTACCTTTATAAGATAGGGGTAATGTTTGCGTACATACTACCCTCTCCAGACCCCATTTATAGGATTACACTGAGTTTGTTATTGTTGCAAGGATAAGGAAAGATTTTTTTTATTTATTATTATTATTATTATTTTATTTTTTTTGTGGTTGGGAGAAGGCTTTTCTTAAGTCAATAGCTACTAGCCACAAATTCAATCTGAAAGAAAAAAGAAAGGATAACAAACTGCAAAAGGAAAGGAAAACAAGAGAAAAGATGGCACTGAAACTTCACCACTGCCATCTACAACACTTATCTAAATTCACTTCTGCTTCTATTTTACTACCAAATTTTCAGACACTATCTATTTCAAAGCTAAATGGGGGAATAACAAGGGTAAAAAGTCAAAAAATATCATCAAAAATAAGAAAAAGAAGGCCTATATCAGCTTCAGTTTCACCTCTTGATTTGACAGAAGACAACATCATCCAAGTCTTAGAAGATGCTAAGGCTGAGGTATATCCTTTGTTTTCTTTCAATATTGAACTAGGTTTTATCCCAAACAAACGTGAGATAAACTCGTCTCAACTAGCGGAGATATGGATTTACGGATCTTTTAGTTGGGAAACAAGTTATTTCAGGATTAATAATTATTTCGGTATTAGTTATTTCGGAATTATTATCCTACCCTCTCATAGGGATACAAATAATATTATAATCCCGAGATAACTAATTTCAGGATTAGTTATACCGTGATTTTATCCCAACCAAACAATGGGATAAACTTATAACAAATTTAATCACGGGATTAATTATATTGCGATTTTATCCAAACCAAACGTGGGATAAACTTATATCAAATCTAATCCCGTATTAATTATCCTTTATCCCTTGCATCGAACGAGCCCTTAGTTCTTGAGTCTGGTTTTATTAATCTTCTTTACTTATTTATTTGTTCTTTTTTGGGTTCTGCAGTTGGCACAACTTTTTGATAATTCAGTTGGGATAACAGGTGATTTCTCATCAAAGAGAATAATTGAATTTAAGTCCTTTTTTTTATAATCATATTATTCGGACTAGCTTATATGTACCCTATTATTCAATAAATACCCACTACATTTCACTAGTACATGAATACGTTAGCGTTTATACATTTAGTTGAAACTTGAAGAAAAAAAAGAGTTTTTGACGATAAAGTGAATTGTTTTTGGAAATTGAAATTGTATTTAGATATACGTTTTACTTGAAAAAGAAGTTGAAATTGTAAGTAGAAAACTTCAAAAACTAGTTTAAACCATTTTTTGAAACTCAAAAAATTCATCTTCAAAAACTGTCCAAAAAACTGGTCACTTGTTACCAAATAATGTTTTCAAAATATTCTTTTAAAAAGTTTTTTTTTTTTTTTTTTTC